TTTTTGTTTAAAGCTTATAGGTAAAAAAAGAATTTATGTGTTGTTACCCACTTACCAAAAATGTATTCTTAAATTTCTTTTGGACCATTTTCTTCACTTGATGGTTATTAGTTCATCACATTTGATATTGATCATATTTTTTTTAGTCATAATACCATTAATGAAGATATTATGTGATATCCGATAATATGTATCAATGACAAAGAATCAATTATGTATTATTTAAATGTATTCATAGATTATGAAGAAAGAGCAAATCCTAAAGCGAAATTATTTACAACACGTAGCTAATGAGAAACAACTATTATCAAATTTACGACATCCGTTCATTATACAAATGGAGTATTGTGCAAAGGACGTATGCAACTTATATTTCGTGATGCCGTTCATAGTAGGGGGAGATTTATTTGGTTTAATGAGTGAACGAGGTGTACTTGACGAATTGCATGCTATGTTTTACGCAGGTCAAATGGTCCTTGCACTAGAATATTTACATTCGCTGGATATAATCTATAGGTGATGAATAATATTTTTTTAAATAGAATAAGCTCGATGACAGAAATTATAATATCGTATGGCTGAAGTATGGATATGGGTTTATTTTTTTTTAAGGGATTTTGACCATATTGTAATATATATAGCCGTACCTACCTATATTAAAGATATATTAATTTGAAATATTTCATAAAAACCTTATCTAAATATTAAATCCATCACCATGACAACGCGAGTTAGGTACTGAAAAACTGATAACGAGTACTTAACACATAATATATCTGTTACATTTTAAAAATCAAAGCTATTACAATTTCTATAAAATGTTATCAATTAAAATATCTAATAGACCAAATTGTTTAAGCTCAAAATTTAGTTGCGAAAAAAATAATTTAGAACACTTTTCTTAAAATAACGATTTTTATATGGACTTCAAATTTATTCAATAGATACTTTTCTTAAAATCGTAAACAGTTCCATGTACTATACGTATGTTTATACATTTGGTTWAGAGTTCTCTTATTGATAAATATAAAATATTAATAATATATTATGTCATTATTATTATTATAGAGATCTGAAACCGGAAAATGTGTTAATTGATGGTGATGGTTTTATAAAATTAACAGATCTCGGATTGAGCAAGCGTATAACTTCCAATCGAACAACCACCCTTTGTGGTACACCGTACTATTTAGCACCAGAAATCATAGCAATTAAACCGTATGGAAAACCAGTGGACTGGTGGGCATTAGGCATAATCATATTTGAAATGATTGCTGGGTCAGTGCCATTCAATGCTGACAACGAAAAGAAACTATTCTATAAAATCTTGAGCGGCAGTTTTAGAATGCCAATCAATTTTTCTCCGAACCTTTCACATCTTATAAAAAACTTACTACGAGTTGACCTCACAAAGAGATATGGAAACTTAACAAAAGGAATTACTGACATTAAATACCACAGGTAAGATATTTCATTATTCGGAGGCAGATAAACAACGTAATTTGTATATTGTAAATAAGTACATGACTTTACAAATTCTTACAAATTTTCAGGTGATAAGTTCCTAAGTGAATTCATATTTATAGATAACTACGATTTTACAATTTTAAACGTAATATAATTATTAATAATTTTGAACTCTCTACAATATTTAAGCTAGTTGGAATTCGTTATTATTCAAAAAGGTTTAGACAGACATTTCATTAGTATTAATTACCGATCGATGAAATTAATTACAGTACTTTGATTGTGTAGCATTTTATCAGTGTAGTAATAACCACTTCCTCCAAATGTAAAAATGTAACATCAACAAATTAATAGTGATTGTCGCCTATGATTTAAGAAATTCATATTTAGTTTATAAAAAATCAAATAAAAATTAACCTTAATTCCTGATGTCAAGTTTTAATTATCATAAGATATATGTCAAATTTGTAGGTAAGCTAACTTCAGTTAGCTAGGTTTCGTAGTAAATATAGTTTTTCTCGTTAAAATATTGTACTTATGAAATAAACCTAAATAAAATCATGTTATGCTGTAAACAAATATTGTGATTTTAAGAGCAATGGTAATTAAATGTAAACATGTTATCCTAAGATATCTATAAAAAATAGAAAATGCATTTTGTGTAAAAACGGTCACAAGTTATATATTTATTATACATGTTATGATTAATTTTTTTAAAGTTATATTTGATAAATATTTTTACTCAAATATTTTTTTCAGATGGTTTATCAAAATAGATTGGATAAAGCTCTATAATAAGAATATGGTACCTCCACACATACCAAAATTTACTAGTCCATCAGACACACATAACTTCGAAGCCTTTGTCGAAGAGGACGCTAATCTTATGTGCAGTGGTGTTGATCAAGATCATTTTGCCGATTTTTAACTGAACACAATAAATAATGAATAACAAGTATATTACACAAAAATACAACTTGTAATGACTTTAAAGTTTAAATTGTCATTCAATATGGTAATCCATTCTTCATCCATTCTTAATCCAATCACACTAATTAAAGTATACGAGTTTGTAAAATCATATAATGGATAATATAATAAATTTATTACAACAAACTAGGGTATACTTGGTTAGGTCGTCGGATGTTCGTATTTTCCTCTTMGTGAAATCTAAAAAAAAAAATAAATAAATTTGTAAAATTCAATAAAATTTATAAAATATTTTTATGCATATATAAATATGCATAAATTTCTTTTCTTATAAATCTCGTACCATTTAAAATATCTGATACGCAACTGAAAACACTTCTTGTCATCTGTTTTTTAAAAGACATCTCGTCATGTTCGTAAATAGTGTGATAAATATAATTTAACGTTGGTAAGAACCACTTTTTCTGATTACAAATTTTCTATCATAAGACTAAGATAACTCGAACTGCACAATATCGAATTAATTTTTTTATAAATCACTAACACAAAATGTGATAACACTGATAACTGTTGAAAAGACAGATATTTTCAAGCTTTTCAAAATTAAATAATTTTTTGTCGTATAAATGAAATCGAAAAGACAAAACAATATAGCACAGATACAAAGTTATCCTTTTTTATTTTAGTGAAAATTCGATTTTCCATCTACTGTATCCCTGGCCCTTCGACCTTCTTATGAGTGGAATCATTTTTCAATGTTATTACTCACCAACCAGTTTCTTAAAAAAATGTGTCGTATCTAATACAATTTTTTGCTGCACCTACTGTTTGTTTTTTAATGTATTTTAAACCATCAACAATTAAGTATTTAGGTAGGCAGGTTTGTACTAAACATTTTTGGTGATGAGTAATGTAAAAATCAAATTTTAATCACAGAAGTTTATTGATAGGTAAGTCGTAAGCATAAAGCTTTCTATATACCTATTTTATATTATGTTGTCATAAAAATACGTTTTTAATAATGTAGATAAATAACTACTTTATAGCAATAATGAAATAATATTATAGTTTAGTAAATAAAGTGTATATTAATTTACAATATTTCAGCCCCCGTGTAATTTAAAGCRTTAAAATAAGTTTGTGATTTTAATTTTACAAATCTTTTATCTTACTTTATTATGTTTAAATTTCATATGATAAATATTTATCAAAAATGTATGAACAATATTGTATATATATATAGTAGCCAAACCCGTGCGATTTGTAGCTCGTTAAAAATCCTACCTCTTGAATGTTTTAAACTGTATGTTAAATTCGTTTCCTGTGATTATACTAGCAGTATATTTTTGTACATAAGGAGAGATAATGGTTAAAATATACTAAGTAATAATCTTGCAACGATTATCATTTTATTAGTTTTCACCAATAAATCAGAAGGTATTTCGACCAGTGAGCATGCTACATACAGTTGTCTATCAGTTCACACACTTGTAGCGATTGTCCTTGAGCTTCGTCGATAGTCACTGGTGAGTCGTTCCGGAAACGTTGGAATTCGAAAGCATATCTGTTGTGATCATTGCAGGGATGYGTGGCAACAGTACATCTTCGCCTTTAAATTTTCTGCTTAAAATTGTAGCTTATATAATGTTGTTCATCAAATTTTTCACTGAAAATTTGGTACCGTTACAGATTCGTGGTGAATTGATGTTTCGTAGAAGAATGATGGTCACGCCAAATCTCAATGTTAGAACGTGCGGTAACATACCTGGAAAATCAAGTGAATTTAAGAATTCAGTTGGATATTAGACAGCTTTGTCTTGATTCATTGCGGTATCGATGGCCTAGTACGTTATCGTATCACCTGGTACTTTGTTTAGAATGGTGATATTTATTGTATTTACATCATAGTTTTTTGCTGTAAATATAGCCCATGCACTGCTGAGCCACTGATGATTTATGTAATTTTATGGTGGATTTGGAAAACGTTGCTGTTATTTTACATACATTTGTCGGCAACGTGATGAATTGTGTTGATTCATCGATGGCTAGTTTTTCATTCCCTATTTCCAGATTTTGCGGAAACATCGGCTGATGCAGTGATGCGTCATTTTGTARAAACACATGCATATGTTTTATATCGGCTTCCAATTTTGCATCTCATCACTCAGTTGTTTCAAATGAACGGAATCAAGCTTGACGTTCTCTAGAAGCTCGTATTGCCATTTTCTTTCGTACTTGAGGCGTACAATTACCCTTCAATCTATTTTTTTGGAGATATAACTGCATAAAAATGTCATTAGTATAACAAAAAAAAAAAAAAACCAAAAAACATAAAATATTAATAAAAACTTGTACAGTAAGGTTCTGATAATCCAAACGAGATTGTGGAAAGGGGTTGTTCGGATAAGCAATGTTTGGATTACCTATGGCTTAAAAAAATTATCAATTTTATAGTAATTTAAATTATGAAATTATCAACTCGTATATATAACATCGTAATTTCAAAAGACAATGAATATATAAAAATATTAATGTAATTATGAACCTTACTATTTAAAATATTGATTTATTTTTTTTGTACACTAGTTCCTATTATGGATTGGTATGCCTTGTCCCACAAACATCTAAGCAATATTAGTCCTTAGCAGCTTTCATATTTTTGTTTAGCCCACTGGATGGCCGTATTTAACGCTTTTGTGGTTTCTGAAGCTGATATTTTTGAAGGGGGCAAAAATGCATCATCTTTTTTTCTAAATTTCTTCTTTGGTCACGGCATGCATGATTTCATCATCAGTTAAAATTTCCTGGTGCTGTATTTCTTCAGTTAAAAAATATGACTTGCTATATCAGCCGATATCCAATTAAATGAAATGCGTTACGTTGCACGTAAATTATTCGTTATCAACCTATTTTGTTGAGTATGTAGTAAGTTCTTTATGAATTTATTGTTCGTAATCGTTCAATCAAAATTTTATAAAGCTCTCGATAGTTCAATAGCTAGCTAAAACTTGTGCTTGTGAGCAATTATTTTTTATAAATTAGTTGTGTTCATTCAAGAAAACCAAAGTAGTAATATTTGTTTATAAATATTTATAATAAATAATTAACGTTTGAAAGAAAAACATTAATATAGCATACGATATTACTATGTATTTTATTTGCATAAGCTAGAACTTAAACACAAAATTAGGTAATCTAAGTGTTAAACATAGTTTTAAAAATTATAATACAAATTCAAAATTATTTCTAACGATATTTAATGAGTGATATAAATTTACTTTAAAGCCCAGGACATTTTTTTTTTTTGAAATTACTGATAAATCATAAACGTATATTTATATTTATATTTGTTGTTGTGCTAATGATATAAAACGAATTTAAAACGTTATGTTTATAAAATTAAACTGTAATTAAATACATAACAAATAGTCTTAAAACTATTCAAATTAATCACTTTGCAAATCAATAATTTTGTACTAGTTACTGTATTTAGATAACTATAGTATAATAATTAAATTTAAGATAACAAAGAGTCTAATGAACATTATTATTATTAAATTATAGATTAAGTATAATGACTAGACTTTTTGGCTTATTCTAAGTAAGTCATTTTTTATATGAATTATATAAGAGTATATCTTTTGAATATAGTGAGTTAACGTCCCCCAAAATTCGATTTAGTGGGCCATAATTGGTCCATTATATTTAGTACTTATAATTAAAATATAAATAAGTTTGTTTTTATTTTTTTATTTTTTTATTTATTAATTTAATTGTGTCAACACAACAGGTATTTTAACAATTTTAGGTACTATATATGATTAATATGATTAAAATATTATGTTTATGATAATTGATTTTTTAAATTTTGGTTAGCTTATAACTTTAGGTCAGAATCAATAGAATCTGAGATTGATGTGTCTTCTATAGGTTCTATAGTAGGATATCCTGTGGTAGCCGAGGTTCAAGTCTTAGATTGGTGGATCTTACGCCGATTTTGAAGTGGATTGCTCCTTCAACTTGATGAAATTGTTCGTGGAAATTTTTAATTTATTGTGTCATACAGGTAGATTTGTGTAGTATGCCCATATCATTGTGTATCTGTTGTATTCTCATAAACAGTGTTGAGAATAGATAACTATAATATTATCTAGATAAAGATAATAGATAAATATAATTTTATCTAGAAAAAAAATAGATAAGAATTTTTTTGTTTTTATACTTGACATAAACTATACAATGGCATAGACAGAAGTCTCCCAAGGAGGCACTAGATTAAATACTTTATAAGTAAATTGCATTTCGTGTATGACTGCACATTCCAATCTATCAATATTTTTCTATACCTTAAATTCCGAATATGTTGTCTGAGACAACTTGTCTCCGTCTTACAAGTGCGTAACATAAACAATTTTAAGCTCAGCAGATCACGTTTAGCTCCTTGAGTTTAGAATTGAATTGACCTCTTATAAAGTTAAAGGTAACATTATCGAGGGCTTCTCATAGACTCTTTACCATAATTTTATTTTAAAGTGAGTTCCCTATGTACGCACTTGTAAGACGGAGACAACACATGCAGGTATAACGTCCTCTTAAAAAGTAGGTTTGTGGGTATTTTGATAATATTTCTTAGCAAAATAAAACAACATAATGTTAACTTAATATTATGTTAAGATTAGTTGTAACATTATGACACTTATTGGTCACATGGTATATTTCTATGATGTTTTGATAATCAGATTCTAAAATATAAACTCTGAAGTATAATTTAGGAATTTATAATAAAATCGAAATTAATAATAATATAGTATAATACAATATATATATATATATATATACATATATAAAGTTGATGTCGTCGTCTGCGGATGGCACGCCTGATAGTATACGTAACAGACCCGTAGTTTCCGTGGGTAATTTTCTAGGATAAAAAAAATATTATAATATGTACCTACCTTATATTTATTAATATAAACTAAATTAACTTACATTATGTAG